ATCTATTCAGGGCATTGAAGATCATGAGGTGATATATGTTGGGTCAGTTTCATCCTTGGAATGTGTAAGGTCGTGTTTTTATTACTGCAGTTAAAAGAAAATTGAATACCACTCCTAATTCATTTCTGTGAGATTGAAATGAACTAGTCCCTGGATTCCACTAAAATGAACCAAACAGCAGAAACTGAAAATTTTGCAGAATTTGTTCCTTGATTCTGTACCCAGTTCTAATCGTTGCTTAAAGATTCCTGGCTTCATCATTGTTCCATTAAGTRGGAACACCTATAAAACCCTTTGCTTCTAAAAAGCAAATGTTGAATAATTATGCTTAACACGTTATCCTAATGTCCATTCATTTCAAACCATAGGTTTCCATATCAAATGATAGCAAGTCATTGAAGATATCAAATGATAGCTTTAAAGCCCAAAAAGGATGGAAAATGACTAGACTTGTACTTTTCAAGAAATCTTTTATTACAATTACATGCGATTTTAATTTGTAAAATGAATTTAGGCATTGACTACTTTTCTTGGTTAATGGTTGCTCTTATTTTTTTTTCATTGACTACTTTTCCGGCATGTAAATTATATAGGCATTCTAGAATGAATTCCCCAATTTATTTATTTATTTGTTTATTTMTTTTCTATGAATAGATGGAGCAAAATTTGCTTTATGCAATTGTTGGGGCTGCAACTGCTACGGTTGCAGTTACATTTTCATTGTTGCAAGAAYATGTGGATTAYATTGATAKRGAACCATCCGTGAACCGGGATTTTGAATGAAGGGATTTATTGGATAGATTATATGGACAAAAAGAAATAGATTGTTATAACCAATTGAGAATGGGGAAAGTAGTCTTTCAAGGCTATGCAAGATTATTCGTGAGATAGGAAGAATACATGATACAATGAGGTGCACGGTAGAAGAACAAGTGGCACGCTTCCTACACATATTGGCACACAATGTTAGGAATAGAAYAATRGRCTTTCATTTCAGTYGGTYTGGTGAGACTGTGAGCCGTCATTTCAACAACGTATTGAATGCTTTGTTGAGCTTGGAGGATAGGTACTTGATTCAACCAAGTGGTACTGAAACACCTCCAGAATTTAGAAACCGACATGATTTTTGGCCATATTTCAAGGTAATTAAGTGATAAATCTTCTTTATGACGTATACACACAAAAAAATGAATAATAAAAAACTTAAATCTACTGGCAGGATTGTGTTGGGGCAATCGATGGCTCACACCTCCCTGTGAAAGTCCCTTCTACTAATGTTGCTAGGTTTCGAGGTCGTAAATCTTATCCCACACAAAACATCCTTGCTGCATGCACTTTCGATTTGTTGTTCACATATGTATTACCTGGTTGGGAGGGTGCCGCATCGGATTCTCACATGCTTAACAATGCTCTGAGGAGAGAGCATAAATTAGAAGTCCCTCAAGGTTGTAATAAACTCTCACAAGAGACATTTTTATTTAATAGTTAAGTATGTACGTGTTTTCTAACTTTTTATATTTTAAATAGGTAAATATTATCTTGTAGACGCAGGATTTTCATTAAAGACGGGGTTCATTACACCATATCGAAACACACGATACCATCTAAAGGAATGAGGTGCACATCAACCTGAGAACCCAAAAGAACTGTTCAACCTTCGACACTCATCACTTAGAATTGYCGTTGAACGGATCTTTGGGGTATTGAAGAAACGCTTTCCAATCTTGGTATCTCAGCAACATTACCCTAGTCACAGGTGAAGATTGTGTCTGCATGCTACATCTTACACAACCATGTCATGGGTGTGGATCCGTATGATTTCATCATG